GATCTGGGGCCGAGCCGTGTAAATTAAAGGCGGTTTATGGTTTGGAATGAGTCACTTCAGGGCTCTCTCTGGGAGCAGAGCCCGGGCCCTCCTGTCCCCACCATGCTGTTGGGGGACCCCCAGGGGGCGGCAGGCCGCCAGCCCCGGGCTTCCTCCCCGGGAGCCCCAGGTCTCCGTCAGGGCAGGGGTGCGAGCCAGCCAGGCTGGGGGACAAACGGGGTGACCCGGGAAGGACCCGCGTGGCTGAGACCACACGCCCGAGATGTTCGTCGAGTGGTCACCCGAGTTGACCCTGCGTCCCGGCGGCCGGGCTGGGCGGGTCTGAGCTGCGCCGGGGGCCGGAGGGTCGCGGCCGCACTCCCGCAGCGGGAGACGGAAGGGGTCTCCACCCGGACCTCCGGGGTCTGCGATGCTCGCGACCCCCCACCCAGGACAGGTCGCCCGCGGGTCCATCGGGGTCGCGCTCTGCTCGGGCCGGTCCCGGTCCCGTCCGCGCGGGGCGCCTGGAATTCCCCGGGTGGCCGGAGGGAAAGTGGGCGGGCGACGGCGGAGACACTGAGGGCGGGAGCCCCGGGGGGTGGGGCGGCGGCGCGGCGAGACAGAGACCTCCCCCGCGGCCTCGGGGCTCCCGGTCCCGCGTGGCCGGCGACCAGCGCCCCCTGCGGCGAAGCGCGCCTCCCCGACGCGCCCCCGGACACGCCCCGCCCCGCCAGCGCCGCCTCCACGCAGCGCCGCCCAATCGGCGGGCGGCCGGCGGGCGCGTCACGGATGCCCATTGTTATGCAAATATAACGGCGGTAAAAGGCGCCCCGGCGCGGCGGGCGGGCGAGCGAGTGCAGCGGCGCGTGGGGAGGCGCGCGGGGTCCGCGCGGGAACTGCAGCCGGAGCGAGCAGGGACCCGAGAGCGCGGCGCCGCCGCCCCGGCTCGGCCGGCCCCCGAGAGCGCCGCGCCAGCCTCCGTCGCCCGCTCGCCCGGGCGCGGCTGGATGCGGCGGGGCCCTGCGGCGGCGGCCCCCGGCCCCCAGCGCCCGGAGCGCCCAGGGGCGGCGTGCGGGGCCCGGGGGCGCCGCGCCCTCCATGCGCCCAGGCGGGCCCCGAGACAGCCGGGGGCCCGCGCCGCCGCCGCCCGCGCTGAGCCCGGCCCGCCCCGCCGCGCGCGCCCGGCGGCAGCATGAGCCAGGCCGAGCTGTCCACCTGCGCGGCGGCGCCCACGCAGCGCGTCTTCCAGGAGGCCGTGCGCCGGGGCAACACGCAGGAGCTGCAGTCGCTGCTGCAGAACATGAGCGGCTGCGAGTTCAACGTGAACTCGTTCGGGCCCGAGGGCCAGACGGCGCTGCACCAGTCGGTCATCGACGGGAACCTGGAGCTGGTGAAGCTGCTGGTTAAGTTCGGCGCCGACATCCGCCTGGCCAACCGCGACGGCTGGAGCGCGCTGCACATGGCGGCGTTCGGCGGCCACCAGGACATCGTGCTCTATCTCATCACCAAGGCCAAGTACGCGGGCGGCGGCCGGTGACGCCCGCCCCGAGCCGGCCGCGGGCCCCACGCGTGTCGCCTCTGCTGGACCTTCCCGCCAACTACCTCGGTGTGCGCCGCGGCCACGACGAGTCCGGCGCGCGCGTCTGTGCCCACGGGACCCGCGCGGCGCCCGTTCCCCGGGGCCGGCGCCCCCCCTGGCGGCCCGGGCCGGGCAGGAGCGCTTCCCACGGCCCCGCCCGCGGCCTCGCGGGTGGGGGCGGGGCGCGGGCTCTCGCCCCTTTGAAATTTGAGTCCGGCGACCAGCATGTTCGGAATCCCGCGACACCGGATCCTCCGCTGGAAATGCCGCCCCGGAGGAGGAGGCGGGTGGCGGGGACGCCGGGCTCGGGGCGCCCCCGCCCGCAGCACCGCGGCCGACGCGCCCCGGAGGAGAGCCGCGCGGTGGCCGGGGTTCGGAACTATTTATCGTGTGTGTTTGTATTTGTGGGTGAGGTTCGTGCGCTTGATTCCTTTCTGTTTGGGAAACACTGCGCGTGGTTACGGGGAAGATGCATTTTTTTCCTGGTCTCACAGCTGAAAACTTGAGTCTGTCCTTTCGGGGTTGCACTGAGCACCGCCCGCCGGCCTTCCTTGCTGCTTCCTCTCGCCTGGCTCTCTCCCCGCTCCTTCCCTCCCCCTCCTGGCCCCTCCCCCTTCTACCCCTGCCCCTCCGCCCCCTCCCCCTCCTTCCCCCTCCCTCGTCTGCCCCCTCCCCTCCCCCCTCTCCCCTCTCTTGCCCCCCGCCCCCTCCCCCTTCTCACACACACGGCTCCGTGTGAGTTTGGGAAGCCCTAGGCCGCCTCCCCAACCTGGTTCTCTGCTGAGTCCGCGGGAGGACCCTGGGCGCCGGGCGGGCGGTGATGGGGGGGTGGGGCGTCCCTGGTCTCGAGCCCTGTGAGAGTGAACAGTCGGTTGCACACTTTTTAAAAAAAGTAAATGGATTTGCCACGATTATATGTCATAACATTTATGACAATATAAACTATTAACATATTGTAAGCCAAGTGCTAGGTGTATTTTGTGAATCTTGGTTATAACCCCATTTTAAAGGGCGTTGTGTAGGCAACAGTGTACCCATATTTATATTTTTATAAAATGCCTGTAAGACTGTGAATCGCTTGTGCTAATGGCCGAGTTGAAGGACTGTTTGCCCTTCCTCGGCCTCCCGGGGTTTCAGGAACCCGATTCGAACCCCAAAATCCTGCCGGGGTGGAGGGGCCGGGACGGCCGCGGGGGGGAGGGGAGGGGGCGGTGCTTCCGCGTCGCTCTCTGTCGGGGAGGCCTCCCCGGCCCCCCTCGGTCCAGTTTCCTATGCAGCCCCACACCCCTGGCTGTTTTGATCCCGAGAAATAAAAGGGGACTGAATTATTCACATTTAAATGAGGCTCCCTGGGTGGAAGTGCTGCTGACCCTCCCTGCGAAAATGGGGGGCACTTGAGGACACAGGTGGGGGGGCCTCACCGTCCTGGCTGCGGCCGAGCCCCGTCAGGAGAACATGCTGATGACGGGCCGCAGGCGCGGGGCGGAGGCACAGATTGCTCCACAAGGAGTTTTTCTGTATATTTTTTTCTAGATGCAAATAACGTTTTAATTATGTTAATTAATGTCAAGACTGTCTAGGCTTATGGAAGCTGTGTGTGGGCCCGGTCTGATCTTCTAACTGGATGAAGCCTGCAGCCCATCCCGCGTGTACGATACCCTGTAGCCCAGCGTGGGAAATTTGTCAATAAATTTTTCATTGATCTTTTTATATTAAAAAGCAAAAGGGTTGTTGGTGCTTCTTGGGCTGGGCCCGGGGTCCGGCTGCACAGTGCCTGGCTCGCTTTCACCTCCCGACGGAGCCGGCTCCGGGCTCGGCCAGACCCTCTGCGGCCCCTGGGCCACACGCAGGCCTCGGAGGGGCCAGGGCGCGGTTGGCACCCTGAGCGCAGCGCTTCCTCCGCTCCCTGCAGAGCCGCTGAGGTCTCCGCGGGGGAACTTCTGCTCCGAGCTCTTCCCTGACCCCCAGCCTGAGAGGTGAGGTCGAGGGGGACCCTCTCCGGCTGCTGCACAGAGGGGCATCTTCTAAATCTGGGGGAACATCATGGTTGCTCGCTCCTGACAAGGGGGGCCCTTCTCTCTGACCCCGGGGGGTGGCGTTCGGGAGCTGAGGAGGCCGGCCCTGGAGCCGGCCCCTCCCGGGAGAGCACAGCCCTGAGCTGGACGCGTGGAGCCTCGGGGAGCAGTGACTGTGTCTGCACCTGCTGAGCGGAGCTGGGGGTCCCTCCGGGGCCCCTGGGGAGGGCTGGACGCCCACCAGCAGGATCCCCCGGCGGCTCCAGGCCCCGCGCTGAAGGCTCTCTGCTCCCTGGTCAGCAGGTCGGACACAGGCCACTCCCGCTCCCGCCCTGTCACCCTCCAGGCCTTCCCAGCGCTGGTGTCAGGCATTTCCTGTCCGCCCAGCTGCCTCCTGCCACCTGCAGAGGTGAGTGGACTGTTGGATGCAAATAAGCCTGGGGGAGGGGTCCTGGCCGCGGGGCAGGGAGAGTGGCCGCAGGAACCCGGAAGTTGCGGTCCCTGGAGCCCGAAGTTGGCCTGGGCACCGTGGGCAGCCCATGGGCATGGGGGCTGGGCCTCCTCTGCCCGCCCACAGCACTTGGCCACCGTGGTCGGGGTGCCATCTGAAGACCAAGGTAGCGCTGGTTTGGGCCTTAGCCTGGGGGGGGGGGGGGTGCACGGCCCTGACTGTCCTCTCCTTGGGGTCTCCCTGGTGAAAAGGCAGCCTGGGGGGAGGCCTGGGAGCTGGGGGGCTTTCTAGGCACGTGGCTGCCGCTGGGGGAGACGGGGGCTCCCTGAGGCCTCTGCTCAGAGACGCCACCAAAGCCTTGCTCAGTCCCACGAGGGGGGCCTGGTGGGTTCCTGCTGCCTCTGCCCAGGGCCTGTCTGTGCACAGACCCCCTTCCAGTCTGGTCCCCGCAGCAGCGAGGGGCGCCGGGGACAGGCTGCCCTTTCACCGGCAGAGCCCAGGGGAGCGGCCCCTAAACCAGGTTCACCCCCCACGGGGTCAGGGGGCAGCACACAGGCGTGTGTCCTCCCCTCCCAGGCCTGCGGGAGCGGAAGAGACTCCGGGTGCGGGGAGGCACAGCGGCCCGGGGTCTGCAGGTGTGGGGGGCATGAGGGTCCCGCCAGGCCACAGGAGACCCAGGGGGCGGTCTGGTGGGCAGGGGCTGGGCGGCGGGGACCCTGGAGTGGCCGCCATGGAGAAAGGAGACAGACCAGATGGACGAGGACCGGCCCACCCCACGGCTTCAGCCAAGAGCTCGCGAGCCCGTCCAGCTGCTCCCTGGCCCCGGGCGCCCGCCGGGAAGGACTCTGCTGGGAAGGACGCCGGGGCCGGAGGCCAGGAAGTCGGTCCGCAGGCGGCAGGTGGGAGCCGGGAGGAGGGAGGCAGGTTTTGGGGGACCAAGGGCGGGAGCCAGGGAGACGGTTAGGGGGGCAGAGGGGCTGCCCTCGGGGTCTGTCCCCCAGGGGCCTTGCAGCTCAGCACAGACGGGGTGCACACTGGCCCGGGGCGCGGCCCTGTCCCGCTGACCCGGGAGCCCGCAGAGGCCTGGGGGCTGAGGCCGGTAGGAGGCCGGTGCTGGGCGGCTGGGCACAAAGCCTGAGCCAGGGGGTGCGGTGCAGGGGGGTCTGGGAGCCCCTGGACGGCCCCGCCCTCCCGCACCTCCCGCCGCCCACGCGGACCCCGGGCCCCTGCCCGCACCCCTCCGGGTGGCGCATTCTTCCGCTCCGGGTCGGACTGTCCGCCCGTCCGTCTGTCGGTCTTTCTTCCGTCGCCCTCTCCGAAGCCGCGGCCCATTCACTGCGGAGGCCTCTGCCCTTTCCTCCCGTCCGCCGGCGAGCAGCTGCCATGCTAATGAGGGGGCGGGGCCGGGGAGGGGGCAGCGGAGGGGGCGCCTGGGGGTTGGGGGGCTGGGGCTGCGGGCGGCAAGGGGAGCCCGGCCGGTCGGGCGGGGGGTCGGCGTGGGGAGCCCGGGGAGGGTCGCGGGGGTGGGGCAGCGGGAGGAGCCCCGCCGTGAGGGCCTGGCAGGAGGGGGTGCGGCGCTCACAAAGGCCCCATCTTTGTGTTCAGGGCCCGCGGGGGGGGGGGGGGGGGCTGCCTGCGTCCGGACACCCTTCCCGGCGCGGGTGGGTGTGAGCCGTAGGGACCAGCTGTCATCTGTGTCCTGGGGTCACGGCCTGGACCCCGCGGCTCGACCCGCCCCCCCCCCACGGCGTCCACCAGACGCTGCTGTGCGTGGGGCGTGAGTGCGCCCCGCGTGGGTGGGGGTCTGACAGCCCTGCGCGCCCCCAGGACTCGGGGGTTGGACGGTGGGGGGAGCCCCCAAAGGCGACGCCTGAGGACCCCAGGCCTGGCGAGACGGTGGGGGGTGGAGAAGGGGCCCCACGGGAGCCGGGGATCCTCACTGCCGCTCCCCCCCCGCCCCGGCGCCCGAGGAGCAGCGGGGGGTGGGGGGCGGGGACCCTGTGCCTGCTTCTTGGGCCCGCCCCGCTCCCCACACCCCGGGCGGGAATTCCACGAGTGGGGGTGGCGGCATGTCTGCAGGGGGCGCGGGGCTTTGGGGTGACGCCCCCGGGAGCTCGTCCCCCTCCATTGGCCGAGGACCGCGCGGCTTGGGCGGTGCTGCCGCCTCGTGGCCGCGGCAGGAACTGCGCCGGGGCCGGCGTCCGAGGCTGCAGGACCCGCGGGCCCCCGGCCGACGGCGCCCTCGGGCCGCGCTCCGCACCCCCTCGATGGTTCGGGTCGGGAGCTGGCGCCCCGCTTCCTGGAGCCCAGCGCCCGCCTCCTGGCAGGTACCGGGGTGCGTCTGGGTTTGCCGGCTGGGAGGAGCCCCGCGGCGGGCAGGGGCCGGCGGGCGGCGGGAGGAGCTCGTGAGGCGCCGGGCGGGGAGCCCCCAAAAGCATTCCGATGGGCGTGGCCAAGCCGAGGCCAGCTCTGAGCGGAGCTGCGAGGACAAGACGGGAGGTGCAGGGCGCCCAGGAGAGAGCGGAGGGTGAGGGGCCAGGAGGGGCCCAGTCGCGCCGGGATGACCTGGGGCCCGGGGCCGTCTTCTGAGGGACAGCCCTGCCCGGCCAGCCCGCGGGGCTCAGCGGCTGAGCGGTGACCTGTGAGCCAGGAGGTCAGGGTTCGAGTCCCGCTCAGGGCACAGGCCCGGGCTGCCGGCTCCATCCCCAGTGTGGGGCGGGCAGGAGGCAGCCGATTCGTGATTCTCCCTCATCATGGATGCTTCTCTCTCTCCTACTTCCTTCCTCTCTGAAGCCAATAAAAGTCTATTTTAAAAATAAAGTGACAGCCCCGACCTGACAGCGTGTGGAGCCGGGACGGGAAGGGCTGGCATCGCGGCCGGCCAGGTGGGCAGGGCAGGCAGGACCCACCGCCTGGCAGGGAGGGCTCTGGGGATGGCACCGCCCTCTGACTCAGGAAAGGGCAGGGAGGGGACCCCCAGTGGCTCCGGCTTCTGCAGGCCCCACAAGGAAACCAGACCCA